GGAAAAGATTCTTCAAAGCCAGTAGCCATCAGGGAAATGCAAACCAAAACCATAATGAGATACCATTTCATCCCCACTAGGATGGCTCTGATAATGATAAGACCACACGAAGCGTTGGCAAGGATACGGAAAAACCGGAACGGACACTGCCGGTAGGAATGTAAAACCGTACAGCCACTTTGGAAAACGGTTATGGTTTGACAGCTCCTCCAAAGCTTAAACATAGTTACCACAATGACCCGGCAACTCCATTCAGAAGATATGAAAACATATGTCCCATAAAACTTGCTCTAGACTGCTCATGGCAGTATTCATAATAGTCAAAAAGTAACAACAATCGAAATGCCTATCAGCTGATGAATGGATTAACAAAATGTGGTATATCTATATAATAGAATGCTATTTGGCAATGAAAAGAACAGAGTACTACAAAATAGTAGATTACTGGCTGCTAGGGGCTGGTGAGGGTGGGAGGTGACTGCTAATCAGCACAGGGTTTCTTTTTAGGGTGATAAAAATGCTCTAAAATTATATATGGCCACGGTTGTACAACTCTGTAAGTATACTAAAAACCCCTGAATTGTATTCTTAAAACAAGTGGATTTTATGGGATATAACTTATATCTCAATAAAGCTTAAAAAGAAAAGAAGTAGGCAGGACAACTTCTTGAGATTCAATTTGTAGAATGGAGTAAAACTCAACAAAACATAAAGTTCTTGAAACACATGCTCATTAATCTTTAGCATGAATCAAAATCCCAGTTATTAACAAGCAGATTATACACGCATTTGGCATAAATTGGCAGCTGATCCACCTAAAAGAGGGGAATCCATTGTAAGAATAGAAACCAAATACTCTCGTAAAAAGGTGGAAGAAGAGCAGCTATAAACTATCTAACAAAGGATACCCGTAAAGGACAACTACCACACAGTAAAATCAGACAGCCCAAATTGCCGAGCATATCTAATGAATACATAACAACTGGAACAAATTTTGAACACAAACTAAATAATAATGATACTAGCAAACACTTTCATGAAAATGTAAAATTTAATGCAAGTTACAAATTCCAGTAGGATACTCACAAGGAGAAATTTCACTTCTCTCTGGAGATGATTCAAAGGACCTCTGGGCTCTCCCGATTCCACTTTAATATTCTAAAAAGTTCCCAAAGTCAGTTTTCACTGGAAATCCCATCTTTTCTGCATAAGGGTCACAGTTACTTGCGTTTCAAACTCCCCACACATTAAAACATGTATTTCCTAAAGCACTAATGAACGTAGGTAGGGTAATACTGCACTTAGAATATCATACCCAGAGACACCATAGATCCTGTCCATCCCGATACAGTAACCTAAAGTCATGCCACCACCCCCTCTCGACTCCGCCATCCTACCTATGTGGAACATCTGCTCTCCTGCCCCTTCCCACTGAATTTCCAAAAGACACGTGGGAGAAATGTAAACAAATACATCTTAAGACCCAATGACAAACTTAGCATTCATTTCCACGTACCAAAAATAACCGCCCCCTAATAAATATGTTCAGGAGACTCCTAACTAAACCAACAGTGTGCTGTCTTAGCCAGAAGAGAAAAGCATTAAGAACATAATTATCCATAATCCCGCCACCCTGGGGGAATAACAATTAACCCCGTCCAGGCTTCCGTGTACACAGTTTTTTAAAACATAGTTGAGATCCTACTGTATACACTGTTTTGTACATCTTCCTTTTTTCTGCTTAATAAGAATTTCCTGTTATTATTAAAGACATTTTACATCATGATTTTTAAAGAATACACAATATTTCATTAGGGAAATCTACTTTAATCATTTCCCTATTGAACATTCAGGTTTGTTTTTAATATTTTAGAAACACGCTTATTATCACGATATGAAACTATCTTTGTACATAAATTTTTTTGCCAGCAATTCCGATTAACTTAAGTCAGATGCCTGGAAATATAAATATAAAGCGAAAAGGCCTAACAAACAGCCCAAATTGCTAAGCGTATCTAACAGATACATAACAACTGGAACAAATTTTAAACACAAACTAAATAATAATGATACTAGCAAACACTTTTATGAAAATACAAAATTTAATGCAAGTTACTGTATTGCCAGTATCTGCAATCTTTTAAGAACAGGAGAGATAAGTCATTTTGATCATTTCACTCGGGTCCCAACTCAAGAGACTTTATTAATCACTAGAAAACTCTTAAGTTACATAACTGCAGCACTGTGGGCAACTGACAGATCAGATCGCCCGGCAAAACCTCCATCCACTGCCCTGGTGAGACCTCAGGGGTGAGGTGGGCCTCAGAGCTGTCCGGCGAGGGCTAGGGCTGGCGCTGGCAGCATGCAGCACCAGCAACAAGCAAGCGAAGAGTAAATTCACTGAATAAACTCAACATAAAATAAAGTTTGCTCCTACCAGGGTTGCAGTTGAGGAAAGTGGAGGGGTTTGAAGAATCTCATCCACGGGACTCCAGGAAATATCCAAAGTGATCGTAGTCTGTGATGCGGCAAGTGTGTCGTCCAAGGCCGTGGACTTAAACAGCTCATACTGGGCAAAGCCCCTGGCTGTTACCTGAAAAAAGCATATCCAGCCAACCCAACCCACTGTTAGCCACGCTTTCACATGGCCAGAGGCCCATTATCAAAACTACCTTGGTTCTTTTCCCAGCAAAAGAAAAAGCACTACAATTTTATCCCAAATGGAAAAATAAAACCATTCTTTTTCATCACAGAGACTGGCTAAAAAGCAAGAAGGCATCTACTTTTAGTCACTAGCCAATATGAAAATAAACACAAACATTTTGATACTATAAAAAAAACACATCTAGTCCTATTAGGAGTGAAAAAAGCATTAAGGGAGGCACATCCGTAACAGTTTGAAGAAAATAACGTGAGCAGAAGAGAAATACTTACAGTAGACAAGTGATGTCTTTTCTTATGTGAACTTTTTAGGTCTTCAAGATTTACAGAATAATTTTTATCAGCTATAAGACATAAAAGGAAACATCATTTTAAAGGTACAATTCAAAATTCTATGGTTAGAGCTAAAAAAAACTAGGATCCCTCAAATTCTAAGGGCACCACAACTTAACACTAGTAATTGTTAAAATTAAATAAATCCTCAGATGAAATGTTGACAGAAGGAGGAAAGTTGCGGGGGGGGGCGCGGGGGGGGGATGCCTGCGTGGCTCAGTCGGTTAAGCATCCAACTCTTGATTTTGGCTCAGGTCATGATCTCATGGTCCAGTTCGTGAAATGGAGCCCCGAGTCAAGCTGGGCTCTATGCTGAAAGCAGGAAGCCTGCTTGGGATTCTCTCTCCCTCTCTCTCTGCCCACCTGCCCCCCACTTGTGCATACATTCTTCTCTCTCTAAATAAATAAATAAACATTTCAAAAAAGGGAGGGGGGAAGAAAAGTGGAGCAAAGGCCAATACTGAAACCATGCCCCATACAGTAAATGAAGTTGAAACAGCAGAAAATTTAAAGCTTGTTTTTCAGAGACCTGTTTCTCTCTAATCAGCTATTGTGTCTTTTCAGAGCCCACTAATAAATCTACTAGATGTCTCTCTAGAAACCTGGACTCAGGGTCAACGGAAACGGCTCCAGCCAATGAAAAAGCAAGGCTCTGCACCCCTTACCCAAGGTAACGAGCCCCAGACGCCATTATCCAATTTGTACAGGCTCTTGAAGCATACCCATAGCTTCTTCTCCTTGTCCTAAGATAACCTCCTGGCATCAGTGACTGAATCATGCCTTGTTCTGGGGTTAATCTCCACTCCAAAGGGAACGTGGGATAGACATTACATACGTTTGTTCAATGTGCACGCTCCATCTTTCCCCAAGCATAGTCACAAGCTTCCCCCATCCTTTTCCTCAGTAAGTATGCAATCTCAACTCCTATGATTATAAAAAACTTGCTCTAATCTCAGTCAGGAAGGCAGTTTGGGGATTACTCCCCAGCCCTCTCAATGGGCTGCCCTTCTGAGAATAAAACTTTCTCAGCCTCAAACCCAGTGACTCAGGGATTAGGTTTACTGCAGATTGAACACACAAATCGGACTTTAGGGTTCAGTAACAATGCCTCTACCAAAAGTATAATTAAACATCTACTATGAGATCGGAATTATATTGTCATTACATTCAATTTTTTTTATCTTCCAATGAAAATTCCCCAAAATACACACATATAAATCAAATGAAACCCAAATAAAACTAGTAAACAAAACCATAAACTTCTGTTCAGATTTTTGGAGATCTGTTTCTGGAGTATCTCCTGTATGCCCCAAGTTACACACCAGAGTAGGTCCATGGTGGCTGACAAGTTCCATCGTGTGCACTTCCCCTCTTAACAATTTCAGTTTTCAGTACAAATCACAGCACAATAACGACACAAATAAATACACCCCCACAAAAGTAAGAAGAGTGAGCTCTCACCTTTACAACTGACCGTATATAAGACAATTCCTGTAATGTTGTCATTTGTGGTGACAAGCTCAGCTCCCAGCCAACAGGTCCCTTCAGGATCTGAACTGTCACACCTCACCCACAGGGCAGGAAGGGCAGTAACTGGATGATTAGTCTTCAAGTGGGTCATATTAGGATTGTGAGCCATAGTGTAAAGTCCAATTAACTGCCTTGAAAACAAGAGTACGAAGAATAAATTATAAATAGTGACTGCCGACCAGTCAACTTTTCTTTTTCAAAGATACTACGAAGGGTATCTACGATTGTGACACTGATCCTACTTCTGATCACCAGGATTCTGCACCAACTGTATTATGTGGGAGTTTTCCTCATACCAAGTAATTCTAACACCAGCCAGGTATCCTACAATTCAACTCAATTCTGACACTATCTACCCAGAGATAGCATCAGATCCCACAGATTAAGGCTCAGTCCTACAAGACTGGCTCCACCCCCTACTTTTAGATGCCAAATGCAATTCCAGGTTGACACCTGTGCTCCTGAAGGGCCAGCTGTGAACCAGACGTTCTAACAACCTCCTCTTTGGGTTCGATTAATTTGCTAGAGCAGCTCACAGAATTCAGAAAAACATTTTACTTGCTAGATCACTGGTTTATTATAAAAGGATAGAGCTCAGGAGCAGACAGATGGGAGAGGCACAGGGCAAGGTATGCGGAAAGGTGTGGAGCACCCATGCCCTTTCTCAGTGAGCCACTCTCCCCAAATCTCTACCTGTTCACCAACCCAGAGGCTCACCACACACTCTCCTTTTGGGTTTTTATGGAGCCTTCATCATACAGACATGAACTGATCCATCACCAGCCACTGGTGACTGAACTCAGCCTCCAGCCTTTCTCCCTTCTCTGAAGGTAGGGGTGGGGCTAAATATTCTAACCCTCAAAATCGCTGGGTTGGTTCCCTAGCAACCCCCAAACCGGTTACTTAGGGACTTTCCAAAAGCCATCTCATTAACATCACAGAAGACACCTCTCTTTCTTCCCACTTAAGAAATTACAAGGGTTTTAGGGACTCCTTGCCAGGAACCGTGGACAAAGACCAGATATGTTTCTGATTATAAATTCCAATACCCCAGTATCCCAGAAACAAAAACCCGGAAATTAAGTGGCAAAATACATAAACAATTCACCCAGTGAAGAAGTGGGAGAAGGGCACACCAGGCAGATCAAGATGCACACAGCAGGAAGTGACAAGAATGTGACAGGATCATAACTTCTACCAATGGGGAATCCAATTCGGTAAGGGTAGAGGTTCAGTAGGAGTGAAAGCAGGCTGTGAGATTAAACAAAAGAAATAGACGAAATAGGTAGGCTATGTTAATTACACCTCAATAAAGCTGGGGCAAAAAAGGAGTCAATCAGCACATGAAAAGATGCTTGAGGTCATTGGTCACTGAACACTTAAGGAAAATTGAATAGACTGTGAATTAGGTAACAGCACCATAACAGTGTTAAACTTCCAGATTTTGATCATTGTTCTGTGGTTACATAAGAGAATATAATTGTTCTTAGCAAATACCTAGTGAAGTATTTATTTATTTAAATGTTTATTTTGAGAGAGACAAAGAAGAAACACATGCACAAGCAGGGGAGGGGCAGAGAGAGGGAGGGAGAATCCCATAGAACCTGACTTGGGACTCAATCTCACCAACTCATGAGATCATGATCTGAGCCAAAATCAAGAGACAGACGCTTAACTGACTGAGCCACCCAGGCGCCCCCACACACATTTTTTAATGAAATATCGACAGTACGTTGGAGACAGTGTTCCTTTACCTCTAAATACTTCACTATAGATAGGGGTGCCTGGGTGGCTCATTCAGTCAAGCGTCTGACTTTTGATTCTGGCTCAGGTCACGAGCTCACAGTTTCGTGAGATCGCGTCCAAGTCGGGCTCTGCGCTGACAGTGCGGGATTCTCTCTCCCCCTCTCTCTGCCCCTCTCCCGCTGATGCAGGCACACGCTCTCTCTCTCAAAATAAATGTTTTTAAAAATGTGTGCGGGTGATATGAGTACCTTATAAAGGTGGCAGAGTGGGGGAAGAATAGGAGGCGGAATAAGAGAGAGAAAGACAAAGCGGATGCAGCAAAGTTTAACTAACCGGTGAATCGGAGTTAAGGGTACAGAGAAGTTCCTGCGCTACTCTTTCAACATTTCTCTAAATTTGAAAGTGTATCAAAATTAAAAGGTACCAAAAAACATGGCTTAAAATTTTCAAAGAGATGAAAACTTAATTTATTACCAACAGATGTTCAACAACGGAATTTCTAAGGGACTGTACTTCAAAAAGCAAATACAGTAATTCCAAAAGGAAGGTCTGTAATGCAAAGCAAAGCAATGATAAGCATGTGGATAAATCCAAACAAACACCGGACAGAGAAAAACAATACAAATAATGTTTAAGCTGTGGGGGGAGAAGAGAAAAAAGGCCAAATATGACTTGAAATCCAGAAGCCATAAAGGACTGATCGATTTAACCACATAAAGAGAAGTGGAGAAGTGGATGACAACACAGTCTTCTTGGTCACGCTTGGGATACCTATGGGATATTCAACTAAAGCTATCCATGCAGAGCTGGGTATACACATCTAGAAGGAGAGGGTGGGGGAGAGGGAGAGGGAGAGGGA